CCATTGTGACTGAATATTTATTTCTTCCTTCTGCTACAAATCATTGATTTGAGTCCAGGTTTCCTTCCCTTCACTGTTGTTGGTTCCCTGTATATATTTCTTTATTTCATTTTTTTGGAGTCTTCACTTTTTCATCTATTTTGCAACCATCCTCAACCATTTCTGTGAGCATCCTGATTACCAGTGTTTTTTTTTTAAAACTTTTTTATTGATTATGCCATTACATTTGTTCTATTCCCCCCTCCATTCCCCTCCACCCTGCATACCCCTCCCCCACCATTTCCCCCTTTAGTTCATGAACACGTGTCTCAAATTCTTTAGATTCTGTATTTCCCCTACTATTCTTACCCTCCCCCCATCTATTTTCTATCTACTGTCTATGCTACTTATTTTCTGTACCTTCTCCCCCCTTCTCCTTCTCCCACTCCCCTGTTGCTAACCTTCCATGTAATCTTCATTTCTATGGTTCACTCCTGATCTAGCTGTCCTCTTAGTTTGCTTTTGTTTTAGGTGTGGTTGTTGATAACTGTGAGTTTGCTGTCCTTTCACTGTTCATCTTTTTTATCTTCTTTTTCTTAGGTAAGTCCCTTTAACATTTCATATAATAAGGGCTTGGTGATGACGAACTCCTTGAATTTGGTCTTATCTGAGAAGCACTTTATCTGTCCTTCCATTCTAAATGAAAACTTTGCTGGATAGAGCAATCTTGGTTGTAGGTCTTTGGTTTTCATGACTTGGAATACCTCTTTCCAGCCCCTTCTTGCCTGTAAGGTCTCTTTTGAGAAATCAGCTGACAGTCTGATGGGAACTCCTTTGTAGGTCCCCTTTAGCTTTTGCTGCTTCTTGGATTCTCTCCTTCATTTTAATCTTGGCTAATATAATGATGATGTGCCTTGGTGTGTTTTTTCTTGGGTCCAACTTCTTTGGGACTCTCTGAGCTTCCTGGATTTCCTGGAAGTCTATTTCCTCTGCCAGAATGGGGAAATTCTCTATTATTTGTTCAAATAAGGTTTCCACTTGTGACTCTTCCCCTTCTGGTACCCCTATAATTCGAATGTTGGAACGTTTAAAGATGTCCTGGAGGTTCCTAAGCTTCTCTTCATTTTTTTGAATTCGTGTTTCTTCATTCTTTTCTGTTTGATCATTTTTTTCTTCCTTTTGGTCCACTCCATTGATTTGAGTCCCAATCTCCTTTCTATTACTATTGGTTTCCTTTGTATTACCATTCATTTCAATTAGTTTAGCTTCCATATGTTTCTCTAATTTGTGACTAAAATCAACCAGTTCTGTGAGGATCCTGATAGGAGGATCCAGTGTTTTGAACTGTGCATCTGAAAGATTGGCTATTTATTCATCGCTTAGATCGATCAGCTCTGGGGCTCTGAGTTGTTCTTGAGCCATTTTTGATCTGTTCGCGCCATTAAGTAAGCAGAGCAAAGCCTTAGTCGTTTACCAGGATGGGGCCACCCAGGTCGCTGGTTTGTGACGCTGTGTGTGGGGGCATAGTGAGAGAGGGAGCAATGGCGGTCCTCTCCGCTAGCCCAGTCCGTCCAGTCCCACCATTCCCCCCAGGCCTGTTTATCCGATCGGAATTGTGCCAGCCTGCTGCCACGGGCCTGCTCTCCTCTTCACTGGTTTATCTGCACGCAGATGCGCGACCGACCGCAGACAGCCTGCCACGCCTCTTCCCTGTGTGCTCCCGTAGCTAGCCCGCGATCTGCGCTTTCGGCTGCTTGCGCACCGCCCGTTCGGGGATTTTTTTTTTTTGCTAACCTGCTCCGCTGCTGGCTTCGCTCCTCTTACCGGTTTAGCTGAGCATTTCGTTGTCTTTGGACTCCGTATTGTCAATTTTCTGTGTGGCTTGGTTGTGTTTTTTGTTGTTAAAAATAGTCGTTCTTAGATTTGGTTGTGCACGGAAGCAAGGTAGTTCCACCTACACCTCCATCTTGGCGGAAGTCCCCTGATTACCAGTGTTTTGAAGGTTGCATCTTCATAGGTTGGCTATCTCTTCACTGCTCGGTTCTATTTTTGGAGCTTTGATCTGTTTTTTCGTTTGGGCCTTTTTTTTTTTTTTGTCTTGGCAAACCTGTGACATTGTAAGGAGTGGAGCCTTAGGAATCCATCAGAGCAGGGCAACCCACTTTGCTTCCTGGTGGAGCTGTATGTGAGGGAGGCGTCACAGAGGAAACAATGCTGCTTGCTCAGCTCTTCACACACCTTCAGTCACTTCTCCCACTACCCACAACCAAATTGGGCCCTTCTGGTACTAATTCCCAATTGTGTGGGTTTCTGTACATTCTAGGACCCTGTGGGTCTCTCCAACGAACTCCCCTGTGAGGTTGGGAGTTTCTCCTGCCGCCACAACACCCACAGCATTTTACAATCAGAGTTTTCCAGGCTTTCTTTACCGGTGCTTGCACCCTGGGTTGTGTAGTCTGACTTGCTCTCCAATTGTTCCTCCTGGTTTGTCTGCATGTGAATGTGGGACCACCCAGTCTTCCAGCCACTGCCTTGCTGTGTGTCCTCTCTATCCCGGCTGCCCATCTCTGCTGCCCCTACTAGTCTTGATGAATGTTTCTTCTTTAACTACTTGGTTGTCAGACTTCATACGGTTCAATTTTCTGGAAGTTCTGGTTGTTTTTTGGTTTTGAATATGTTGTTGTCCTTCTTTTGTTTGTGCAAGGAGGCAAAGTATATCTACCTACACCTCCATTGTGGCTGGAAGTTGAGCTCTAATTATTTTACTACTCAACTTAGTTCTCTTAACAATTCTGTGAGAGAGGAAGAATTGGTATTCCTTCCATTCTTAAACCTGATAAACAGGCATTAAGTCACAAAGCTAGCAAATGGTGGAGTTTCAACTAGGACCCCAGATTTAGTCCTACTTAGTGCAACACAGTGACTTAGGTTTTTAAGTTGTTTCACGAAAATATTTCAAAGTTTCCACAGATTCTTGATTTAAATTATTTAGATATAGAAAGTAATTTTAATGTCCAAATAGTCACTAGTGATATTGGAGACAAACATGTTAACTTTTACTGGTTTTGTGTAAATTCACTAGTGTTGTGCATGTCTTGGACTAAATCATCTTCTGTTATTTTTATTTAATTGAAGGAGAGTTTGTTTACCTAAATAAAATAAAATACAGAAGTATCTTAAAAGTGCATTATATATAAAATTGTCATCTATAACTATTGCTTAATTTTTCTCATAAATGACTAATAATTTAATCCTATCCAATTTTTTAATGCCAACAAAATAGAATTTTAATTATTTTTAACATTGAAATTCCACATATGTTTTTATTTAAAAAAAATTCCCACTGCTAAAAATGTGCTTCACAGGCTTTACATTTAAGAACACTAGGGAGAAAAAGGGGTTGCTGCTATAATGAGCTGTTTGCATCTGACAAAATTTTGTCACATTAATTCTATTTACTTAAAAATATGAGTAGATCTTAAAAGCTCTTATCACAAGAAAAAGAAATGTAACTGTGAGGTGATGGATGTTAACTAAATTTATTGTGGTAATAATTTTGCAATGTATACATATTTCAAAAATTACAGTGTATACCTAAAACTAATACAATGTCAATTATATTTTAATTCAGAAATTTAAAAAGAATATTTAGAATGTGTAGGAGTCAGTGATCAAACACATGACGGCTAACAGTGATGTTTTGCTGACCTCCAAACCACAAAATGTGACCAGATAAAATACTTAACTGTATTAAGAATAATTCTTTTATAACTTTATATACCATGAAAACGGTTCTATTTCGATTTGCTAGCTTTTCTATCAATGTCCTGTAAAGAAGCATTTGATTCATATGCAAAGGTGGTAAACATGACATGTCTTCCTTGAAGAAGTAATTTAGGAAGCACCGAAGGAAGTAGCTTTGGTGTAGGAATTTGGCCTAGGATGACAAAGTCAATAGGGAGTGCTGAGGTGTTGAACAAGCTGGAGATCTGCACATTTCACCATAAATCAAAACGATTCACTAAAAACACCCAACCAAACAACAACGTAACAACCACCAGCAGCACTGCCAGCACACGAACGGTGTCTGCAGCCCACCTGTGTGGACAACCAGTGTGCTTCCCCTGAGGGCCATTCAACTCTTTTCCTACTGCTCAGTCTTGTTTCCTATTTCTGGGCGTCATGGCATCAAAACTGATTGTCACTACATTTGCACTTTTATCACAAGCATATTTATTTATACCGATTTCTTTGACTTTTTTGTAAATTAAGTATATACTATATGAAAGTTTGTGTTTTTTTTCCTCCACCACTTTCCCACCCCCTTTCTTTCCCTCTTCCCCTTATTTTTCTTCTCTTTCTGCATGATGGTAATATTCCCTTGGTAAATCAGAGTCCTAAAGCATTCTTTTATTTTTGATTATCAGTTGAAAATTTCAGTTGCTTTCATCCGTTCATCTAGTTAACTTTCCAGTCTTTATAACTTCAGAGCAGCATACCTTAAAACTAAATTCTAAATTCCAGCCAGACAACATTTGGGATAATAAAATCAAGTAGCTTTGGCTCCATATACAGAATCAACTTAACTAAAAACGAGTAACTTCAAATTAAAATACAATCATGCAATTTAAACATGATAAGAAAAGTCCTTCTGAAAAAAACCTCATCATTGTTTTCCTTAACAGGTCCTAAATAGTAATGTCTATGGAAATAATAAATTATAATAAAATATATTTTCTGTAATTAATCATAAATACTTCTTAATTAAACAGGAACTTAGAGGAACTGAACTCTAAACATTTACTGCACCTCAACAAAAAATTCTTTTGAATTAAGCATTAAAAAATACCCCTGAATATTCTCCAATGTAAGGAAGATGCTAAAATATTATTTTAATATGAAAATTTAGTTTGTATAATTCTATAAGCTACTACAAAGACATTTTTTTGGAAAATAAGTCACAACCAGCTTTTCTTTCATCTTCACCATATAACGATTACTGACATCAGTCTGTAACTCACTTGGCAGATGATCTGACCACTGCATGTTCATCAGAATTAAGGATTTTTGTCAGATGAGCTGCAACTGAGTCTTCATAAATTGTCATCTGAAAAAAAATTTAAACTGCATTGTGTTACTATTGCTGGCAATTACATAACTCAGTTATTACTGCTTCAAAGATGGGATCCTTCGTGACACAGGACAATGGCTGCAAATAATATGTAACCAAGAGTCATTATACAAAATAGACAAATATTTTCTTCCTGTGAAAGCTTTTAGTTTCTGGAATTCTTTAATTTATACTCTTAGAAAAATCCAGAAAACCCCCTTTAAATTTTTTTAAATGTTAAAAGGCTGAATATATAAAGCATTCATAAAACTGAGTAAAAAAATGCTATGCAACCTAATAAGCATGGGACAAAGAGGAGAAATTTAAAGACACAGATATCCAAATGATCCATAAACAGATGAAAAGGTGTTCAACCTTATAAGCTACCTGGCAAATGTAAAGTAAAGCCACCATGGGATAACACTATGTATCTGCCAGAATAGCTAAAATAAAAACAACAACCAGAAAATGTCAATTACTAGCAAAAGCAATAGAACTCTTATATTCTCCTGGAGGAGCAATTGATACACATACTCTATAAAACTTTGGATAGTATCTATTAAAGTTGAACATATGCATAATACTGCAGGACCCAGCAATTCAACTTCCACATGTATGCACAAAAGAAATGCAGATTTCAGCAAATGTATATTCAGCAAAAGGCACATATTAGAATATTAACAGCAGCATTTACTCAATGGTAGAATGGATAATATATTATACAACAGTATATCTGTGCAATGGAAAACTAAAGGGCGATGAAAATGCATGATTTACAACTAAACTACAATATAGATGAATCACACAGAACACAATGTTGAGTGAAAGAATTCAGAACCAAAGGAGTACATACAAAATGATTCTATTTTACAAAGTACAAAAACAGGCAAAACTAATCAGTGCCGTTAGAAGCTGGGAGAATGGTTACTGGGGTGGTGAATGAAATGGGGCACAAGGAGGTCTCATGTGGTGCTGGCAATGCTACCCTGTGATCCGGTGTTGATTACATCTAGTTTGTGGAAACTCACCAAAATGAACATTTATGACAGTTATACTTTTCTGTATGCACAATTCAATAAGGTTTTTTAAAAATGCCGAATGCAGTGTCATACAAGCATGTAAATAAATACTTCTCTTAAATCACTAAATAATCAAATGCTAAAGAAGTCTCATATCACCTTTTTTATTGGATTCAAACTTTAACATTCTATTGAAAGAACACATCTTTCTAATAATGTAAATGTGTACAGTATTTAAACAGTTTCATATTGAGAGCCTTCCATCAAATGTTTGCTTCAAATACTCCATGTCGCAATTGCTCAAAAATTTCTTTATAAACCATCTGTTCTACTCAGGCCAGCCGCCTATACTCCTCTGCCTGACTCAGATATCCTTTCATCACTTTTTCACTAATCAGCATCAGTTTATTCAGACTTAGATGAAGATTCAATTACCCCCTGGCCCACTCGGTAAAGCCTTCTTGACTAGGTCCCCCAAAGGGACCTCATTCCTGATTAACATCCAGTTCCACCAGTGGCTAATCAGTATGTTGTTACTCTTTTAAATTTCTATCTTACTTTTTTCAAAGACAAACCACATATGGAAAAAAATTTTACATGAAAGAAAGGTGGGAAAAAGTAAAAAAAGAAAATATTTTTCCAGAAAGATTAGTTTTATTTCTTTTTCCTATAGGATACATTGTCATAAAACCTAAGGAAGTAGAAAAAAAGTATTATAAACTATCATTAATTCCATTTGAATTTACATTAAAAAACCCAGTGTTTTGCCCTGACTAGGGTGGCTTAGTGGGTTGGGTGTTGCCCTGCAAACCCAAAAGGTCACTGAATTTCCAGTCAGGGCACATGCCCGGGGTTGCAGGTCAGTTCCCCAGCTCTGGGCATGCAAGAGGCAATGGACTGATGTTTTTCTCCCTGTCTTTCTCCCTCCTTTCCCCTTTCTCTAAAAAATAAATAAAATACTTTTTAAAACCAAGTTTTTGTCCATTAAAAATAAACAGAAGCAAAAAATACAATTTCTTCCAGAGGAAAACAAAATAACTTCTGTGTCCAAGGATAAAATTATTGATACCACTTACTAACCTATTATGTAGTCATTTAGTTAAGTCACAAAGATAAGGTAATAACAGTAGTTAACCCTTTTTAATTGTGTATCAAGCACTGTGGTTAAGCACTATGTATATATGTATCCCATTACGTGTCCTTTTCCACAGCCAAGGAATGTGAGGCTCAGGTGAGCTGAGTGATTTGCCCAAGACTCCAATTAATGAAGAGCAGACAAGCTAAGGGCTGGTTCTGAGGCTTTTCCCACCATATTGCCCCTGCCTCTGCCCCCACCAAGTCCTGGTCTTTGCTTAACTGTATTTGTTAAATATAAGTATTATCATTTCTCAAGTGTATCATTTATAACAGCCTCCTTATTGAGCTTTCTAAGTCTCTCCTGCTTGTTTTAAAACCATTCTCTAGTTTACAGCACAATATTAAAAAAAAAAAATCTGATCACACTCCTGCTTCAGTGTCTCAGTGTATCCCTCCTACTTTCTAGATAATGTCAAAACCCTTCAGCTAACAAGGAAAACCTTCCCTAATTCCCAGGACTCTCCAAGATCTGGCCCTCCTTTCCTCTCTGTCCTGTTTTTTGATGCTCTTTCCTTGCCCTGCATGTTCTAACTCTACAGAATTACTTGTAGGGCCATAAATTTACCAAAGCATTCATTATCATGCTCTATGTAATACTCTTTTTCAAATGGCTCATCTCTACTTTTCTTCTTTTGTGCTGAAAACCAAGTTTACGCACAACTCTCTCTGTAAAGACTTCAATGAACTTGCCAGGCCAAGAAGCCTCTCTTCTGAGCAACCATTATAACCTGAAAATAACCTAAACACTAGTGATCATTTCCTTGTCTGTCCCTCCCACTATAGCAGAGATTCCCAAACTTCCTGAGTTTGTGGTATCCTTAATGTCTGAACAATTTTGTCATACTGTCCTTAGGCCAAAAGAAATACCTAACGGTAGTTAACTCTAAACAATAAGTATTTATGTCTTAACAATTTATTAACTTTAAAAATAATATATATACATTAGAAGAAAAAATCTGATTGCATTCTTAAAAAACTAACTGTAAGCCTGTTGGCACTGTATATATATGAAACCTTGGAATCAGATTGGCCAATGACGTTCTCCTTTCCTATTCCACATAAATTTCTGCGTGGTATTTGCTTTTTACCACAGTAAGTACTAAAAACCCAGATTCATGATAATATGTCATCAAAAGGAATGTAGGGTAGCCTAATGTTTAAACCGTGCGCTACCTCAAGCTAGTAGTTTGCCAAGCATCCAACAGATGCTGAGTATTACCAGGTGTTTTTTTAATTTAAAAAGATCACTGTGGTGCCCTGAGGCACCCAGTTTGGGAACCACACTCTAAGCTGACCGAAGCTAGAGGGTCTTTCATTTCCAGTCCCAGGTATCAGCACTCAATCTTGTTAAATGAATAAAAGAGAATAAAGTTATAATTTCTTAGCATGCTACTACCAAGCACCTAGAAAACCAACAGAATTGAGGGGAGAGAACTTTTATTATTCTATCAAAGTAAATTAAAAATAAATAGGAAGAATTCTGTTTCCATATTTTTAAGGCCATTCTTTCCTGCCTTCAGGGAGATGACTGAGGTTCAGCAGTTCTCACTTCCTCTTTGATCAGCCTGGCATTAATAAACAAGCATCTATTGACTTACCAGACTTGTACAACTGGGATACGATATAGAAGAGACTAAAAATATGACTCCTGCATCAAAAAGTTTTTAATCCAATTGGAAAGCAGTAAGAATCTGGCTTTGAAGAAATAGGCAAGGTCACAGGGCTTTGACACCAAGATACCCATTTTTCCAAAAGGGATTGATCTTTTGATCAAAATTTAACAAGAATGTTGTTATTCTGCCAGTCACAGTGGTAGGTGACAATACACTGGTGAGTGAATAATACACACTTGCCTGACCTTTACAGCATGATAGTACCAAGATAATGGAAAGTGAACAGGACTATGGAACCGCAGAGGAAGAACACAGTGGAGGACTTGAGAGACAGGGATGGCTGCTTGGAGTGAGTGATACCTAAGCTGAGACCCAAGGTAGGAACGAGTGAACTAATAAGCAGAGGCCAATGGAGGGATACAAATTTGTTTGCAAAGGTTTAGAGGAAAAAACATGATGGGCATGGGACTTGTATGTTACATGCAAACAATAAATTTTCTAATACCGAGTATTAAATAACAGAATCAATCTTAATGAAGGAAATCAGGAAATTACTCTTTTTACAATGTTTAAAAGTACAACAGCAAACAGAATTACTTAATTATGGCCATAAAGAATTAATTGACAAAACTCACAATTCTTTAAGCTCTGTAATTCTATGATGCCAGCAGAATGCTGGCAGAAAGATAAGTAGGAAGGATCAACAACCTTTTTGTACTTCTAAGAAAAACAAAAATATAATTTCGCAATCAGGAATAAGGGAACCCAAAGTGAATGTTTTATTTCCTGTAAAGGAAGGTGCAGCTTACTTCTATCATAGTTTTCAAGGCAAAAAGTCATACAGTGACTGGTCAGAGTGATGTAGAACATTGATTTAACCTGTAATCTTAAGGCATTCTATCCTTTTGTTGTGAAATATTTTAATAAGAAACCAAAACAAATAAAGGCTCATTCAAAACCCTTTTATATTAAAGAAGAGGTTTCTTCCATGTAGCTATAATTGTACCTCATATTTAGTGACCATATATATGTGGTAAAAGCAAACTGTCAACCTTTTTTTTTAATACTAGGAAATAGACATCTCTGAAGTAAGTAGAGCAAAAAAATTGCCCTTTTGTCTCTTTGGAGAGAAAAATAACGTTTACAAAAAATATTATTAAGAAAAAGACTAGTTCCTACAAAACATGTATTATGTTTATAGTTGGATAAAATAATATTACAGTCCTGGTTGCATGGCTCAGTTGTAGTACCATTCTATACACTGAAAGGTTGCTGGTTTGATTCTCCACCAGAGCATATACCTAGGTTGTGGGTTCAATTCCCAGTGAGGGCACATGTGGGAGGCAACTGATCAATGTTTCATCCTTACATGGATGTCTTACTCTTTCTCAGTCCCCCTGCCCCTTCCTCTCTCTCAAAAATCAACGGGAACATGTCCTCAAGTAGGGAAACAAATAAACAAGTGAATAAAATAACATTGTAAATGAAAATGCTGCTGGAAATCAAATAGTAAATATATTAATCTTTAATAGTAATTATCTCTGGGTGGCAAGACTTAAGATTTTTACTTTCTTTTTCATATAATTTTTATTTTCAAATTTTTTAGAAGCAGTTTTTGCTACCTTTATATTAGAAAAAGCTTTTCAAAATTCAATTTGCTTCTTTAAGAGCCCCATGTTCCTAGTTACTATGTCTTTCCTTAGTTTTGACAAAATCATAATTTTCTTAATCACAAAACAAAGATTTCAAATGTAATAAACAGATTGATTTTCCCTGAGCAAAAAATAAGCTATCATAGATCAAATAATCTTAGTGAGTCAGAAATAATCCTTTGAAAACTTGGTTCTGTTTTAAATCTCCAGTGCTTTGAGGTTTAATCAGAATGCTTAATCTTTAAGAAGTCTAAAAACTGTACTTATTAGTGGTCTATAGCAGGGATGGAATAAAGTGCACTGTTTTCTTTCTTATTTTGATCAACAGGCTTAACCTGTAGACCTGTTCAGATGAACCCTCAACAAAGCAGGCAAAGCAGGATAAAATTACATAATATTCTGGCCAAAACTATCAGTGTGTTTGGAGATTTTAAGAGCCAGGGGCTAACCCTTAATAATCACACAGGTGCTCATGGGTGAAGCAAAAGATGAGGAAATGCTGACAGGAACTTGCCATCAGCTGACATTCCCTGGAACCCTGTTGGTTAGAGGAAGCAGACAGGTGCAGTATTTGAGAAAAAATATCAGGGGAGATTGAAGGGGAATGCACATGCCTGGTGTTTTGCACACACCCATGAGCATATTTAATCCTCACAATATGGTCATTTCACTCTACAGATGAGGTAACCAATGCCTACGAAGGCGAGAGACGTGGCTAAACTCTCACTCCCAGTGTGGTGGTCACGGAAGGACTCTAACCTAGGTCGTAAGGACTCAGTGCTCTGGGGGACAGGACTATAAGTAGTCAATAAGACCATACTCAAGCCAATAAAACATAAAATTAAGTAAACATGCTACTGTGTCTTACAAGCTTTCTTATTTGTTCAAGATATTCACTCCATCTTCAAATGGTAAATAGGTAAAGGGTTAAAGGCTTACATAAAATTCTTCAGATGCGTCTGGAGGTTCTGGAAGTAGAGAAGCCTTTGGTGGCAATTTGAGTTCATAGGTCATTATACTCCACCTGAAGGGAGAAACATCTTTGGTCTAAAATTCCTTTAAAATTTAATAAACTGATTTTGTTCTCACCTCATATACAAAAATATGCACATATATTTATGAACTATGCCTTACTGTATCTAAAACAACCAAAAAGGATTGAATGTAAAATGTACTTGAAAAATTAAAAAGTGAAATAAATAAAACAACCAAATACAAGACAGATAAAATTTGGTAATTTCATAAAATGCTAAATTTATAAGTTATGATTTCCATATCTTACCAATTCTGTTACGAGTGACTTCAAAAAATTTTTAAGGCCATGACCAAGGTAAGAAATGCATGTACCTAACATTTCCCCTTCTTCACCAGATGCAATGCACTGATTTTTCTATTCTTGTCTGTTTTACTTCTAAAATGATGCTCATTGTATTTTACTAACTAGATTATAAAGTTACTAATGGATCATAACACAAAGTTCTAAAACAACATCCTAGAAAAATAAATGCTTACTACCTATAAAAAACACATCACACTCCATGTTACAACCAGAATGTCAAGTCAGCTTACACATACATGAAGTGAAAATCAGCTAATTATCCCTTAAGTTAAGAATGGGATGAGAGAAAAATACTATTAGAAGTAACCGAAGCCAATTTATTTCAATTAGCTATAAATATTAATTTCAAACCTAACATTGAATCATTTGGTGTTACAGAAAAGCAATCAACTCCCGATAAATCCAGTTGTGTATTTAAAATAACAATTTCAAATTCTGTGAGAACAATTGTGTATGCTGTCTATAACAGGATGTGAAATAAAGATTTTACAAAGACACAAAGCATAATAAAAGTAGTACTACCATAACACATAAATTTTAAGAAAAGCATTTCACAACTGAAACCAGAACCAATAGGAAAATTCCAAGATTAGCATTGGTATTCAAATAAGCTTAGTGCATCATTCAGACTAGTAAGTTTTTGCACAAAAATACAAATTCCCAGAAAATTCTGCAAAAGACATATATTTTAGGATGTATTAACTGAGTAGTTACATACAGGTCTATTCGACTCTTAACAGGAATGTACTACAAAGAAATATATACTTGATCATGAAAAGCCATTCATTCATCCATCATCCATCCATCCACCCACCCATCCACCATCCATCCATCCATCCATGCAAAGAGATTTCAACATCTCAATGTGATAAGATACTATTCCTGAGTCTGGAAATACCACAGTTTGTAAGACTTCCCTAAGGAACCTTATATTCTAATGCAGAAAATAGATATAATACAAGCCATCCTTGAAAATATCTGAATAGGGAGAAATACAATTGAAAACATGCAAAGTCAAGTTCCTTATAGCTGGAAATACTCTGGTCAAAGGAGAGTTAAAGAAATGGGACAGAAATTCATCAATGTCTTTAATTCTTTGTACCTTCCATGCTGCACCTCCACCCTTGATGGGAAATGATTGGGGTCGAAGAAACAGGAGAAAGCGGCAGTATGAGTCAGAAATGGACGCATGTTGGTACTAGCTAAACAGTTAGGGGCCAGAAGGTAAGGATCCATCTGGTGTATATGTGCATTAAAGAGGAGAGCGTACACTGCTGAGGAAAGACCTGGGGAACTAGAGTCTGGATTTCAGTTTAGAGTGCCAGTTCTACCACTTACTAGCTATGCGATGTTGATAAGATAAATACCTCCCAATTCTCTTTATCTGTAAGATGGAGATTATTATAGTAGTAGCTATCAACTGAGCAGTGATGATTAAGCGAGATGATACTCTATCTAGTAAATACTCTCTCTACCTAAATTTATTATCTAGTAAAGGCACTGCAAGTGCCAGGCAGACAAAAATCTAGTCATTCTTACTCTAGTGTTCCCACAAGCCTTTTCATCTCTGTAAGATAGTCACAATAATGCTTTTTATTAGCTATCCTACTGTGTTGTTTTGAGGATCAAACCAATTGGTATATATATGAAAAAGTACAAAATTTGGAATATTATTAAACAGAGATATTTTCACATGGTCGTTACAAACAGTATTCTTAAGTCAGTAATGAAAAGCCAGGAACATCTTCCATCACCTTATATTTGACCCCTCTTTATCCACATGGTAATGGAAGATGATTTGACTTTGGGTGGTGGGTATACAATGCAATACAGAGATCATTTATCATAGAAATGAACACTTGAAACCTATACAATCTCATTTACCAATGTCACCCTAATAAACTTTAAAAGAATCAATTAGAAAATATTTTTTAAAGCCATAAACAAAATAGTTTTATGTTTCTAATAATGGTCTTTTTTTTAAAGTTAAGAAATCTAATAGGTTTTTTTTAAAATTCCCTTTTATTACTTTTTTTCTTCTTATGTTTTTTGTAGATCTGTATCAAGAAGTTTCACCATGGAGACACAATTTCTCTGGCCACTCCCTGGAGAAGATAATTTTTATTGCACAAAGGGAAAAGAAAACACAGGGTAGAGGAAATGCCTAGCAGTATTTCCTAGGATGAAATGAGAATGTGGTATTTGAATTTGCACAGAGCCTTTTAAAATACCTTGTGTGGTTTGGTGAGCACAGAATTGGGTAATTGTCTGAGAAGCCACCTTTTGGCTCTTTTAAAGACTGAAAGTTGAATTTACTTCATGTACCCAAACTACTGGGGTGGCTGGGATATCCCTCTCACTGACATTAGATGAATATCTAACTACTATGCTGTACATTTGAAACTAATATAATGTTGACTGCCAACTGTAAATTTAATAATTTTTTTCAAAAGAGTATTTGGGATAAACTTAGATAAATGCTCTACAACCCAGCTCTCTTATTTTTTTCATAGTTTAATATTTTATTGTTTATACTATTACAGTTGCCGTAATTTCCTCCCCTTGTCCTCCATTCACCCAACCCACCCCCCACTTTCACAGTCAATCTATGTCCATGGGTCTTTCACATACGTTCTTTGACTAATCCCTTCACCTTCTTTCAACCAGCTCTTTTTAAATATTCTGCCAGCAAAAAAAAATCAACCATTACAACATTACCTTAATGACAGGCAAGGTTACAGTTAATTAGGTTATAGTTCATTTGAGGTTAATTACATTTTAGAATGGTGGCTCCCTGATGAGATTTTGTTATTTTGGGGAAGAGTTCCACAGATGGCTAATTCTATCAAAGTTGTTTTGATTCATGTTAACTCAAGTTTATAATATTTTGATATTTGTCTTCTACTTATGGCCTGGTAAGGTGGGGGTGTAGGTCGTTTCTGGTTACTGAGTCCTGTTGCTCCCCATACCCCAAATCGAACCCCCTCCAGAATACTCAGGGCACACATTGTGATTTCTTCCTTATATGTGGGGCATTCAGAGAGAAAGCAGTGAAGAGTTGTGGACAAGGACGCAACAAGACACAGGGATAGCTCCTTCAGGCAAAGCTGTCTTCCTAATACTTCCCATCTGTGGAGAAGGATTATCTTTTTAATTGTTTTATTTATTTATTGTTATAGGGTAATCTTTTTAAGCATTTACTGTATTTTGCCATGTATGATGAGTACTTTTTTGTCCACATTTTTAAAGGAAAAATAAGGATGCTACATGTGTGTAATGACTACATACCATGGGTATAATAATCCATGTATAATGCACACAAAACCATAGGTGAATATTATACACAGAAAAATGGGTATAATTCATTATGGGTAATTCAAAATGGGTATACCCAAAGAACTACTATGGGTAGTTCTTTGTTGATTTAACTCATACTTCACAGGTATAATTACGAAGAGATATTGTAAGAAATCTAAACTTTATACGTCTTTTTCTGCTTTAATGAAACCATAGGTGATATGCATGAAAAGCACCACCCCTCAAGTTAACTATTTAAGATTTCTCCTGCACTGAATAACAATTAAAAGTAGTTAGTACCAACACAGCCTCCTATCTTTAAAATAACGGGTTTTTATACTACTTTTCTCAGTTTTTGTTACAACTAACTCACTCAAAAAATATATATCTATTGAGTGTCTACTCTCTGCTGGGTACAACTCTACACCTCAGGGGTGACAGAGCAGACAAGACCAGGGAGTCTCTGCTCTCAAGTAAAACTTGAATGATCAAAAAATGATTTCAATGATTTCACTTTTACCTGTCCAACATTTTGGTGCTGGCCCGTTCCAACTTCTCTAGTATCTGGGGAAGTTGGGTGTCATCATCGTATGAACCTCCCCAGCCAAGAACCCGGGCAAGGTCATTTCCAGTACCCAAAGGCAACACTCCCAGCTGACACTAGAAAAGAGCACAACAAGGCAGCCTCAGGCAGGGTGAGAAAAAGGGGCTATTACAGTTCTACACATCTCTGCTGAGCTGGTGAGTATACATTCATGTTAGATAGTAATGAAAACAATTAGTACTTGCCTGTTTATTCAAGTTGAGCTTATCAATTTCTGACAAAACCCAACCTACACTTCCATCTCCTCCACAAACAAGAATCCGAAAATTGTCAAACTTCTGGAATAATCTTAAACTGAAAGTAAAAAGTATTTTATTTTAATATAAATAAATAAAATTCACTTTCCCTATTTCTTTGTTATTCTGCATTTACTGGTATTCAAGTTCAAATTAAATATAAGAACTCTTACATACTAATTATTCTATAAAGTTCATTTAAGTATAGTTTTAACTCAAGCAAACCTCTGAATCACAAAGACAAAAGGGGATTGTAAGTAGAAATGGAGTCAAATTTAAAGAAAAGCAAAGGAAGAAATGGGAAAAGAAACAAACAAAGGAAGCGGAACCCAGGAAAGAGAATGAAAAGTAAGTGATATGAGATGGTAGACAGTGATTTTTCTCTTTCCATTACCAGACTAAGTGATTTCGTTAAGCACAGCTAATTATAAACCAGGAGTGGGAGATCTAGGGCACTGAGCAGCACTTGAGGCGGTTTTAACAGGGACCCACCCAACCTTGTCAATGCATCACTTTTTGTACTCCCTGTCTGTTTTTCCTCCTCCTCTTCTCCGAGTCTCAGGCCAATCCCTTTACTTCTATCTTTCTTCCTCTCAACTTGTGACATATCCTACCTCCTGAATGTACGTTTGATAACTCAAGTATTGTGGAAAATCTAAAAAGTATGTTATACAGACAATCTCAAGAAGTTTAACAAAGAGACTGCCTTTGGTGGGAAAAAATCAATGTCAAGAATATAAGATATTGGAATTATTAAGGATTATTAAACAGATGTATTATAAAGGGTGACGAAGCAATGGAAGAGACAAAGGTGAGAGGAGAGGCCACATAAGGAAATGCCAGGACCCAAACAAAAGAAAGCAAGGATGTCTAAGCAGCTAAGAAAGAAGCAGGGTACACATGAAAAAGACCCACACCCAGGTGACCAGAAGGGCCTGAACTTAGTAAGAAAAAGGCAATGGAAATGAGAAGGAAGACTCTTGAAGGAACAGAAGTGAAAAAAAGCACAGAAAGAGATATAGAAGATAGGAAAGTGTTAAATTACAAAACAAAGAAGGCCTTTTCAGGCATTAGCATTTAAAAATCCCCATTTCTACTTTCATGTTCATGAGTTAAGGTGATGAGAACCCTACAGAAAAGCTGAGTTGGCATAAGTAAACCATACAGAGATGGCGGGGCTCTGGTTCAAATGACACGATCAATGTAAATCATGTACACCCACAAAAAAATGTACGGAAAAATGCCTCAAGGCATATTCTTCTCACTGAAAATATTATTTCATTTTTTTTCAGATTTTACATTTAAATGACATTCCAGATAGATGAAACAATTAACAAAAGTATTTCTTTGCCATTTGTATGAAGTGAGTCTGAAATCCTTGAGAAACTGACTTACAGACCCACGACAATTCTGTGCTTTGGTTAAGTACTTGACCGTATTATATATAATCAATACTAGCCTTCCATACAAATCATTTTCTGAGGTCATTTTGTATTTCTATACTTACACATTTATCTGTCTTAGAGCTAAGCATGCTGTGAGTGCTTGTTTAATCTATAGTGTAAAACATTTTCTAAACAAATTTTGTTATTTTTAGCACGTAAGGCAGTTACACAAATATCATAATGTGTTAAATTTATAATTAGAACTTTAAAAAGAGAGAGAGGAGTAACAAGATCAACACAGAGGTGTCTAGATGAACTGGAGACATCTGTCATGAACTGGAGAGCCAGGCATATTTCATGTTCAGTGCTCCATTTCACTCAAAAGGGATTTATCAATAATCAATTACCCTAAATAAGGGCCTCCATTCATTAAATCAAACACCTGAGCCGGATTTAGTAACTGTTTAAATCGTCGGAGGAACTTGACTCCCTGATTATCTCCACTCTTAGAATTGACAAAAACCAGCAGAGGACTAACACAGAATGAGAACGTTGCTCTGCAGAAACCTGGAAGAAAACACAGGACAAGATCAGGACACACAGCTTCTCTCCTCAACTGCTAACAAAAACTCAGAGAAAAGAAGAGAAATTCATAAGAATAAAGAACTATGTTCATTAAGTTAAAAATTAGCCAACAAAATGGAGATAGTTTGTTATTTACATACCGAGAATATATGTTATCTTTTAAAATATGCTCTATAATGAAAAACTATAACAAATATTATAAAAGTATTAATCACAGATAATTTGAGATATATGACCTGCCTTAACACACTTATATAAGAAAAACCAATCATAGTTTGTGTTCATATTCATTGCTATAAAATACTTTAACTGCTCCTTGATGAGACCTGAGCAAATACTTTAAAATTTATAACAGAACCATGACATATCACGGCTTACAGAGGGAGGGCTTTTAATAGAACAGGTTTTTTTTTCAATCAATTTTTTAGAGGCTTATATTATAGCCTTATACCTGTAAGATCCATTGGTATAATTTACACAAAATGTTTGAAAATCATAATGTACTTTATCAATGCAAAACACTGATAATATAGGGTAAAGGCCTTTCATAATATGGTTTGCTTAGAAGAAAGTTACTAATACGCTATTCCCAAACCAGTGTTGTAAATGGGTTCCTCAGCACTTAGAACTAAGTTGTAAGATTCTAGAAAAAGTGAATTGACTTATAGTAATATAAATTCCTGCAATGAAGCTGTAAGAAAACAGCCCTGGCTGGTGTGGCTCAGTGGCTGAGTGCTGGCCTATGAATCAAAGGATCACCACCAGTTCAGTTCCCAGCCAGGGCACATGTCCGGGTTGTGGGCCAGGTCCCCAGTAAGGGGCGTGCAAGAGGCAACCACACATTGATGTATCTCTCCCTCTCTTTCTACCTCATTTCTCCCTCTGTAAAAATAAATAAATAAAATATCTTAAAAAAAGAAACTAGAAGAAAACAGATTTCTAAATAAGAGATCATGATTCATGGAGTAATAAAAACATTTACAGAAATTTACTTTTTCAAATTACATTTTGGCACAGAACGATGATCTTATTTGCTTAAATGTACAATCTAAAAGTCTTATACACAGCAATTTCACCAACATGTTTACAGCTATGTTAATTTTTTAATGTTCTCTTAAAAATTAAATGTACTGTTCAGCAAGTTAAATAGATTTATTATATAAAGAGTGATAAGAGTAACTAGTTACAATTCTGTTCATTTTAGGAAAATAAATATACACATCAACTTTTCGATATACCAGGAATATCCATACACTGCTGCTACATACCATCAGAATCAGTGCTGTTTAGTGCAATTGGAGGTATGATAGACACTTTACACTGGCCAAGTGGACATATAGGATGGTATAAGTCTTTGCAGGCAGTGTGTACCTAATAACAAACAAATACACTTTTAAGAATCATAAAAACAATCCAGTATTTAGTTATATTGTAAATTGTATCTAAGTAACTGATAAATTAAGGATCAACTATATCACAAAATGTTCAGTAATTCATAAATTACTTTAATGGCACAATATTTATGCTTCTAAGGAATGGGCTAATCATTTTAGCGATGGGAATCTGATTTTGTCTGCATAGCTTATTTTCGTGATATAGTAAGTGCTTGTGAAGACAAGGCAAGAGGTGAGAAGAGAAAGAAGTGCAGAGGAAGGGAGAGAAACTAACCAGTATGCCTCAGTATCGCTGTCCATTAAGAAAACACAAAAACTGACAACACCTACCTTATGAAATCCTTACAGAATTAATGAAAATAAAATCATTATTATATCCACTCTTTCTGTAACAATCCTGTAACTTTTTATTCACACTTCTTTTATAATATTTTCATGTTACTATAGTTACAAGTATATCCATGCCTATATTCCCAGCTAGACTTATAGCCTCGTAAGGAAAAGGAAAAGGTCCTATTATCATATATTCATCTGTACATCATAGGCTACATAGTAAATGTAGAAACAAAGTTTCAAGGTCACTCCAGATACCACTGAAAACAAAAAACACAGCGTTAACTTACTTATTAAGTGGGACACAAGCAACTTTTAATACTTTATATACTTAGCTCCAAAGCCTTTATGTTCTAACCAATAAAAGCAGATATTCAATATTTCATAAAACATTTAGTATGGCATAGTTCATTAGTCCTTTTAGATAACTGGCATATTAATGAAACATGCATTTATCCAAACTTTTGGGAAAGTAACTGAAATGTAATAGTAATTCTTGTTCTGCTAATGACCTAATTTTAGATAGTTTCCTAATTTGATTTATAATAACAATCCAAAATAATTTTACAAAAACAAGCATGCACAGATAGTTTTAACAGGAAAAAAATAGAGTAAAACTGAAAAACACAATAATGTTAAATGAGAAAGGTGGAAGATAAAATTGTACCTTCGCTATTTTTACAGAAAATGTAAAACTATGTCTAGAGAGTAACAACAACTGGAAAAATTAGGAGTCGACTCATTAAGGTTGTGGAGCTGATCTGATTTTTCACTTAGATGACTGTGTTTAGACAATATTCTGCTGGTAGAAACTCCTATTTTAAAGGCAAGACAATATATAAACAGATAAATAAGAGTGCATACGAAGTACAGAGGAAGGGGTGGCTCAGAGACCCACACATCTAACAGGCAGGGTGGAGCCAGAACGGTTCCACAGTAAGGTGATATTTAAGTCTTCCAGGAAGAAAAAGGGAAAAGACATTCCAGAATGCTCTCTTCTATAATCTGTAATAATATTATTAGCGAAATCTTTTAAAGGTGAAGGTGAGTAGAGTGAGCAAATATAAAAACTAATTTACCTTCACTGTTAAAGTTAGTAAAATTTAAAAACTATTGACTAAATACAAGTAGAAACCTATATACTGCAGGTGAAGACAATTTATATAATACTTTTAAAAATACTTCATTACACATGACCTTTAAAAACCAGCTGAAGTTCTTGAAGCGACAGACTCAGACCCCAAGAGAACTAGCAGCAGGTACACACATCACTGGTTGTCCCCTCACCCCTGCCAAACCCAACCTTAGGTAGGATGGAAATTGAAAATCTTGCTTAGGGAGCACTCCTTTAAAATTAAGGAATGGCAAAAGAGGGTTTTAGGGTTTGTGGTTACACCAAAATTCCAAAGAGAGAGAGTCTATATTAGTATAGTCTATAATATATTAAATGGGATAAAAGAAAGGAAAAGTATGCCCATGGCTAACAAGAAGAGGCAACTGATGAAGAATAAATAACAAAAGGACAAAGAGAATCATGTTTGATTTAAAAATGAAAAGGAAACACAAATTACTTGCTAGGCCTGAGTAAAATATTATAGGACTTATTTTCCTTTGTGGTCTATGGAATCAATCTCAATACAAAACCAACACATCACACATCTCTTACATTTGCTGATCGACACCATACTTACTGAAGGCAATGTTTTTCCCCCACCCTTTTTTGGGTGGGAGGGATGGGGAGCGGGGCAGCTGAAGTACAAGACTTAAAGCAAGACAAATCGGCCCAATGCAAGGCAATCTCTGTCACAGTAGCAGAGCATCACCCAGTGCTAAGATAAGCACTCACAGCTACTGCCTCCTGGCCCTACTATCTTTTAGTCCCCACGCCACTCACTGTGTGGCCTGGTTCACTCTCCAAGTCCTGCTCTGACTGCCCACGTGCGTGCAGAGGCCCAGTCCTCACACGGTCCAGCACAGACTGGCTGGTGCCATGTTATGTTCAGTGTGCTTCTCTCCTCTTTCTTGCACAAGCAAGAAAGCTTTAAAATATGTATTTAAATGAAGAGTTTAACACATGGCCTACTTAACTCAGTACTCTGTCAGAGAACATCCACAGGATAGTAGCAAAATTACATTTTGTATGCCAGTCAAAATTTGGTGGCTTTCTATACATAACACATAGTAAAACAGGCCTGAAATAGCAACCCACTGAGGGTGACTAAAGCATAATGAAAAACAATAAAACCAGGGAATAGGTCTTTAGACAAAAGAACTATATAACAAGAGTAAGTATTACAAAAAGGGTATTTGAAAAAGTAACACCTTGAAAAAGATAAATATTACAGTGGGTACATGTGCTACCAGGCTTTGCTGGGTCATAAATACTTTGCCTCTAAACCACAGGAGCTAATTAAAAAATACTCACCATCGTTTTACACCAAAGGCATTTCCAATCTTGTAGACGAAGAACACTGCCACAGGTTTTGTCGCAGACAGCACATTTGGCACTTACAGGCAAGTTACCCTCTAGCCACTGGTGAGGCATAGCCACCTGTGCAGCAGGAATAAAGGACAGTCAAATTAAAGACTGTGGAGCACACCATTCTTACCCCAGGGAAGCTATACAATAATTTCTTACTCTGTGAATCAAATAATATGTATCATCATGGCACGCACTCATTTACTCCACATTTATTGAGCATGTACTATGCCCCAAGCACTGTAGAGGTAGAAAGATAAGTAAGACTAAATCTCTAGCCTTCAGAATTTGTAGTACAGTTGAGGAGAAAGGAATATAAATGGCACCATATTACAGTGATCACAAAGTGCTATCAGATCGTTTATGCAAGGTACAATGGAGGCAAGATTTTGAAGGTGGGGGCACAGTTGAGAGGAGGCCCCAAGGTCTGAGAAGTCAAGATCTGAGCAGGCAGCTGAACTAAGCCTTAGAGACATCCTCATTTGCCAGGTCAGCAACGCCAGCCCCACACCACTCTGGGGCCTATTCACATTTCCCTTCAAGTTTAAGAGCTGAAGGAACCATACAGGATGTAATTGAAAATAAAAACTCATAATTTCCCAAACTCTTCCATTTAATAGTAAGAGTAAATATTCCCATCTAAATCTGTCATTATTTTCTACTGGACAGCGAATCAAAGGGAAGAGGTACTGGGAAGAGATCCGAGATAGAACACGGCTTACTCCATCTTCGTCCTCGATGATGTCCTTCCCAATGGAGGCCAGAGTCGTCCATTTGCAGTTGTTTGTTGCCCTCACTGCACACCTTTTGTGAGCCTTGAATTTACATACTAAAAAAATAAAGGAGACCATTTCTACATACTTGTGTACTTTTCGACAAATGATTAAAGGAAATCACAGTGTGAAATTTTACAGGGTTGGAGGGTGAAAGGAAAACAGTATCTTAAAAAGTTCAAATTACTCTTCAACAATAGTAATGGTATTCTATAAAGCAAACACGGCTATGTATTCAAGAAGCACTTTTATTACGCTATGAGTTGCTACTTAGATTCCATTTAGTCATAAAAGAAAATTAGAAAAAAACACAAAAGAATTGGTTCTTGAGGAGAAAGGAAACAACTGACACACAGAGAACTAAACACAACTCAGTAAAACATGGGTGCTAGTGACATCCATTTCTTACTGGGTGCTAATTACATAAACCTGTTTAATTTGTGAAAATCCAATGAGCTGTACGCTTCTGAAACTTAAAAAGTGTGCAAATACCATTAAGAGAAACAATGAGGTAATTCAAAAGAGTTCTGAATTGCAAGTATGTCAAGACACTTTCCAGGAACCATGGGAAATAGCCTGACAAGGATCACAGAGATGGGCCACCAAGTACTGTGTTGGAATGCCCACAAGAAAATATAGAGGAAAGAAATAATGAGGTGGTGTTCTCACTATATGCTGAGGGAATCATTTAGCTGGGGGAATCGTTATTTCCCCCCACTAAATTACCATGAAGGGGCCTACAAAACAAATAAGAGACACTGAAAACTATGTAACATGGATGAAAGAACCGGAAGACAGACAAATGAAAAGATTCTGTGCTCATGGACTGGGAAGAATTAATATTGTTAAAATGCGTATACTACCCAAAGCAATCTACAGATAGATTCAATGCAATCCCTATCAAAATTCCAATGACATTTTTCACAGAACTAGAATAAATAATTCTAACATTTATATGGAATCACAAAAGACCCCAAAGGGTCAAAGCAATCTTGAGAAAAAAAGAAGAAAGCTGGAGGCATCATGCTCCCTGACTTCAAGAAGAAACTCTCTCTCATGTGCTCCCAACTGTAAACCTGCTTTTATCCTGTCCTGTATATTATAAAGTTGTAATAATCAAAACAGTATCGTGTTGGTATAAAAAAGACATATAGATCAATAAATAAAGAGCCCAGAAATAAATCTATGCATGTATGGTCAGTTAACTTATGACAAAGAAGCCAAGAAAATTAAATGAAGGAAAGACAGTCTTTTCAATAAACTATGTTGAGAAAACTAAACAGCCAAATGCAAAGTAATAAAACTGGGCTATCCCTTATACCATGTACAAAAATTAACTCAAACTGTATTAAAGAATTAAAAGTAAGATCTGATGATACCATAAAACTACCAGAAGAAAGAATAGGCTGTAAGCTCTAAGAAGGACTACACCAAACTATAAAGTGTCTGCACAGCAAAGGAAACCATCAACAAAATGATAATGCAATCCACTCAGAGGACAAAGTAAATGCAAATCACAGATCTGGTAAAAGGTTGATATCCAAAATATATAAAGAAGTCATATAACACAATAGCAAAATACAATTTGTTTTAAAAAATGGGCAGAAGGATCTCTTAAGTGACATTTTTCCAAGTAAGACATATGGATGGCCAACAGGTATATGAAAAGTTTCTTAGCATTACTAATCATCAGTAAAATGCAAAAACCACAGTGAAATATCACCTCATACCTGCTAAAATGGCCATTAGCAAAAAGACAAAAAATTACAAGGGTTAGTGAGGTTCTGAAGAAAAGGGATCCCTTGTGCACTGTTACCAGGAATCCAAACTGGCACAGCCACTATGAAAAACAGTATGAAGGTTACTCAAAAAATTAAAAACAGAACTCCCACATGATACAGCAATCCTACTTCTGAGTATTTACCTAAAGAACATGAAAACACTAACTCGAAAAGATGTCTGCACATCCATGTTCATTGTAGCATTATTTACAATAGTCAAGATATGGAAACAACCTGAGTATCCATTGATATATGAATGAAAAAAAATGTGAGAAAGATATATGGAATATTTTTCAATTATAAAAAAATGGGACCTTGCCATTTGAGACAACATGGATGGACTTTTGAGGGCATTATGCTAAGTGAAATGTCAGACAAAAAACAAATACCATATGATCTCACTTTTATGTAGAATATAAAAAACAACAATCTAACTCACAGGTGCAGAGAACAACAGTTTGGTTGCTAGAGGTGGGGGATTGGGAGGGTGGGCAACATGGATAAAGGGGAGTCAAAACATACAAACCTCCAGTTATAAAATAAGTCAGTCGTGGGGATGTAATATATAGCATGGTAACTATAGTTAGTTAGTAACACTGTACTGTATATTTAAAAGTTGCTACATTGCTAAGAGAATAAATGTTACAAGTTCTCACCACAAGCAAAAAAAAAAAAACTCTGTAACTATATATGGCTACAGTAGCTTAGACTTATTCTGGAAATCATTTGCAATATATACAAATACCGAGTTAAAAAAAAAAAGACAGGGAGAGAAGTTAAGAGGAAACAGCCATAAAAGAAGCAGCACAGATATGAAAAACAAGTAAACCACAGGTTTGGAAAATTAACCCTTGCTTATAAAAATCACCACTTGGCTACCATTAAACTTATCCTTCTAAGGACACAAATTATCCGAACGTTAGTGGATTCTGATGTCACACAGGTTTCTGACTTTTCAGATAAATGGTTAAAAGTAGAGATCACTTCAGTGGAAATATTAATAATATGGTAACCGTTGCTAAATTCTAATTGTAAGGTGGCTCCCCTTCACATGATTTTGAATTTCTAACAGTAAGCCATGAATAAACTAGAAATGATGGCTGACACACCATTCTTTTTAGGAAAACCTAATGTAATGTAGTATGTAAACTAAAGAGCCAAGTATGTATAACAGTCAAATGTTCAAATGCTTCAAGTATGAGGAACAGCCCATATGGAAATGGTCACTTACACTAACCCGGTTTTCCCCATCTGCACAAACTGGAAATGTTTCATTTACATGCTTTTTTGTGTTCACTCACAAATTTTTTCCTAGAAATTATACTATTTTTGTGATAAATGACTTTGTAACTACAGCACAGACTTCACACAGACTACAGTAATTACTGAATTGAATTTTATTGCTGATAAATACTGTAAAAAAGAGCACTTAGAAGTAAGCTTAGCTTGAAAACCAATTTGAGCATTTTGTTCCAATACAAGTGACTATTTTAAAACTATGGTTAGTTAGTGTCTCTAGGCCTTTTCATCTGTTACAATATTGCTCAAAAGCGTGGTCCTAGTTTTAATTTTATCTGCAACATAATGCCCAGACTGCTTTTTAAGTACAAGGAAGTACCTGACATTAATGGTCAATTAACTACTTTCTAAGAGGCAAAGAAGTAAAAAAGGGCAATAGGGTATAATTTCATGGCTTTTTAAAATTTTGTTACTCAAAATCAAGCAGCATATTAAAAACAGACACCACAGATTTGTAATAATAAAGGGCTTCTTAAAATGATTCTCAAAAATTGAAAAGTTGCTTAATATACAGTAACAACAACAACAGAAACCAGGCTGTAATTATGGTCACTAAGAAGTGGAAATGATTAACAGGCACCTTAACTTTGTTAGGTAACAATTAAGTTTCTCCAAACAAGTTATTCTGAAATGAAGCACTTTCCCCTGACCTGTAAAGCCATTATTTTAAAACTCTAAGACTTATAAAATATACTAACATATAACAAAATTATGATTTTTTATTTTAATATTTATTCAGCCTTTTCTACAATGAGTCTTTATGTATTCAATCATGGTTAAGATAAAATTTGTAAGTTGATATATTTGATACTGTTAATTAAAAAAATCACCATTTAACTTTTTTGTTAAATTGCTATTTAAATAATAAAGAATAATTATGCTCTGAAATTACAATTAACAACCTCAATTGATTTAGGGGATTATTTATGAAAGTTTTTTTCTTCTATTTTTTCATATATTTTATATGTGAAAGGTTTCAAAGTAATAATTTTAGTCATTACTCAACACAAACCTGGAAGACGAATGAATCCATACAGCCTTGTTTCATTGTGTCAAACAAAGGCACAGATGAAATAAATTTAGCAAGGCTGCACGCACTGGAAGCTGGATTCTATTCTAACACGGAGGTTTTCGTTGTCACTGTTGAATAAATTTTTCTTGTATTTGTATCTCTGTTATAACTTGAATCCCCTTGCATTCCGTGGCTTTAGTTTTATTAAGCAGGTAGTTTATTCAGATTAGGGGGGCTTCCCTGAAGTTTAACTGTGATTACAATAAAAATATCCTAAATACCCATATTCTCATAAAATAAGAATGTAATTTTTTATATATTCATAAAACCCTTGGGATTTTTAAAACCTCTGCTACAGTTCCAAAAATACTAATAGTCAAAAAGCTGTAGATTTATGATTTTGATCAGCAAAAAAAAAAAAGGAATACTACCATAAATTCCTCTAACAATGTAATTTAAAAGCACAATAGAGACTTTTTAAAAACTCAGGAAGACTTCATTATTAACTGAGTAATATAACAACAAATTTATTTAAAGACTTTAAAGTTTCTTATTCTCAGCAGCTGGTATAATTTTCATTTTTCTTTTAAAATGCTTAGAAAAATATTCAGTCACCCCACTATCAATCTCAATTTCTAAACAAATACATTTAATAATGTGTAACTCTCAAATCATATGGGTGCCACAGAGTACCTCATAGCAGTTTTAGCATTTTGGGGATGAGAGACTAGACAGTAATAGTAAGAAGACCTTCAAGATAATGCCACTTGTCACAGAGCTGGCAAGAGTTACTCAGAGCTATAGGAAACCTTTAATATTATTAAAGTCATAAAGGCCAGTTATAGCTTTGTTTGCAATCATTCTTAAAATTAAAAAAAATGTTTCATGTCTCTTCTAAATATTCATTTTTATTATTTTAATGCACCAGGTCATGATGCAATCTGTATTTATTTTTTTCCTTGATACATTTCTTATGAGGCATAGTTAAAATTTCTATAATTTACTTGACTAGAAAAGTAGGTTTATTGCATGTATTCTCTCATTTAATTTCCATAAGGTTTTATGAAATAAAAATGACTATTATCCCCATTTTATAGACGAGGAAATAAAAGTCTGAATGAGTTAGACTATTTCCCCAGGTTACAACATGAAAGGCTGGAAGTGAAACTGGAATCAAGAGAGTGCTGAGTGCAGAGCTCCACTCTTAACCACTATGCTGTGTCATTTTAAGTAGCTGAATTAATGACATTTCTCAGATCTTATCATTTAAAATGAATTAAAACTGTGGCTGTTTTATTATTTAATTATAAAAAGTTATACTTAAATTACTCAAGAATTTTTTGTATTAGAGGAAAAAAAAAAGCTAGTAATAGTATTATAGATAGTTCAAAAGTAGTACACAATGATGTGATTACTGACGTATAAAATTAAAACAACCTAAAGAAGTTACCCGTTGCCCTCACTGGTCTGGCTCAGTTGGTTGGGCATCACCCGCAATGTGAAAGATTGTGGGCTGGATTCCTGATTAGGGCACATGCCTGGGTTGCGGGGTTGGTCCTGGTCACTGTGCATATGAGAGGCAACCAATTTATGTTTCTCTCTCACATTAGTGTTTCTCCTCTCTCCCTCATTTTCCCTCTCTCTAAAGATAAATAAATAAAATCTTTGAAGAAGTTATGACTTTTTTCTTGGTAATTATGAAAGTATTTCCTTTTAAGTGGTCGTTGCTGTTAAATTAAAAAATAATCTGCAAAGTCTAAAATGAAAACACAGGCCTTATTTTTAGAAAACTTTAAGTAAAAGAATGGCATTAATTTAAATTAAATATACTTGAAAAAACAGAAAACAGTGTTTAAAACAATGCAATGTAAGTAACAATCAGAAATTGTGTCAGAGTATAGACTATCCTCCCAGAAAGTTTTGTTCTCCATTATCAATCACAACAGAAAAAGAATACTTAAAACTGGAATGATCATACAAAGTCCAGAGATTTTTTTCTAGTCAGTAGCTACTAGTTCCTCAGGAATAAAATACTTCCTTCAAATTATTTTATATTATCTATTCCTGAGCCAAAATATTAGTCTTATGTGTGCAGACCTCCACTTTAAACCACCATAAAATGTAAACACTCCTCTTCCACTGACTTGCTCTCAGATACTCTCTCCACCCAACAGAAATGTTTTCCTGTGGGGATTTTTCTCTGTTCTCTTCTCAGAAATACTGACAGCAAATGCAATGCTACAGTACCTTCGCAGGACAGGCCATGGGAGGTGACTCCAGAAAGACTTTCTCGGCACACATTACAGAAAGTGGGTCGGGCATGGGAGCAGGCGTACCAGTTGTGCATCCCTGAGAAATGTTCCACATTAAACTGGGCCACCTAAAAATGAGACGTTAGCACAGATCTGCCGAACAAGAGAACAAGACTATAGACACTGAATATATGGAATGTATATAGTTATGATTATAATGTTAAAATCCGTATTTTCATAACTAAAACACTGTAAGTAAAACTAATGCATTATCAGGTAATGCATTTCAAGTTACTGAATGAATCTACACATAATTATTTTTGCAGAAAACAGCATCAGCTCTTTGGTTAACATTCTCTATGAACATGAGGTGACAGAAGAGATGCAACTCTACCTCGTAGGGTTCTCTGGTCTGTACAGACTTCAGAGAGCTGATCCAATCCTCCATCTCCTTTCTGTTCTCAGCACATAGCATTAGTCTTCTGAATGGAGTGATTATCTGAAACAGATAATTCAATCTAATGACGGTTAATAACCAACAAGAGAGGCTATTGTAAAACCTAACATCTTACAAGGTACTCCATTTCTAATCTCTGAGTCCTTACTTCCTTGAATAAAGTAAGAGTCTGTAAAGTAATTGAATTTAGTTCTATGAGTATGATACAATGTGGTCTAGGAAAGAAAATTCTAAGGAAACTTTTCTTGACTTTGATCTCATTGCTATGTACTTATCAGGCTTTTTAGCCCTTTACCAAAAGCTATGAACACAAATAAGTAATATATTCTTATTTCATAAAATATATCTTAAAAATCAATTCTAAATATACTTCAAAACAATTTATTGTAAGTTTAGAATTAAAAACTGAAAATCAAGGCATGCAGTGTGATTTTATAATTGGCTTACATAATATCAAAAACATTGTTATTAAATTGCCTGTTTTAATATGATTTATATGAAGGATTTTTTTCCCATCGTGTAGAACACCACTTTACTATTTTTTAGTGAAAGCAGGGAAGAATTAGCATTAAAGTTCTTTAGCTGGCTTTAAGGGAAAAAATTGTGACTTTCACCTGTTTTCATATCATTAGTAATGAAGGCAAATTAATTAAGAATCTTAATGCAAGTGAAATGGAAACTTCTTGCTGTTATAGCACCAAAAGTGATTCAAAGTGGGATTCTGAAATAACTTGAAAGAGCTCCCATTTATGTGTGAAAATATTCTGGTTGTAATCCTGAAACTGATAAACCCTAAGCATTTGCTGCAATAAGAGACTATTTATTTACTCATGAAAAGAGGAGCAAAATGTTACATTCCTAAAAACTATTCCCAAATAATAAATTACATATTCATTTATATATCAAGTAAGTTTTCTCAGACTAAAAGGCATTTGATCAAGTGATAAACTACATACTGCATTACAGAACAGATTTCCCAAGTAATGACATAGCACTAATCATCTTAATTTTAAAAAGGAACTCCTTCCAAAAGGAGTAAACTAACAAGCCTCAGTCACTACTGTTCAGCTTGGCAAATAAATAAGTTCATTACTCAAAACTATAGAAATCAGTTTATAAATGAAGTTTCAACTAAGAAAACCAATCTTAGCTACTCACCAGTCAGGGCCTCCTCTCATTTGTCATTACCTCAGGCTACAACATCCTTCCCTAAACCACAAGGCCCTAAATACATCTCACAGGCACTCCCACTTACATACAGCTGGCCAGAGTCACATGGAAGAAGAACACCAATCATAGCTTTGGGTTTGGGGTAACTGCCTACAAAATTGCAGAGAACCTCCCCTTTGCATTTTCTTGTTTTCCAGTACCCTCTTTGGGTAAAGCTTATTAGCAGTTGGTCACTTCTCTTCTTCAATAAATAGTTAATGCAAAGAGCAATGCCTCCCTCATTACTTAGGAGCCAAATGGATACTTTATTGCTTCAAATGTTTTTTTGAGACAGCTCACCAAAAGCAGCAGAGCAATGCCATTAGATCATAATACACTCCTGGCTCTGATGACTGGCACGGCATGCTTGAAATCTCAATGTTCACTGGGCTGAATACATCTGATATTTACCCCCCAAAATATCACCTCAGGTGTCTTATATAATGTAACTATAAAGATTCCCTGTCTTTCATTCTGATATTATAGTGAGATAAACATTACTCAGATAAATAAACCAGGCTTGATATCTTATTCTTTAATTTTGTTTTGTTTAATTCTAAGTAAAGCAGGATGTCTGAGATTTTTAACTATCCTTAATGCTCTTACATTCTTTCAAAGTTACCATGAATTCAATAAAAAGGGAGAAAGAAGAATAAATAGCTTCTCATTATTCCTGTCATTTTTGGAACTGCATGTCTCAACTCTAAAGCATTTCAGCAATAAGAATAATGCATGTATCTTATACACTGAAAACACCAGAAATTTCTCCTTTTTAATAAAAATTTGTTTAAAATGAATGATCATAAGCACATAAAGATTTAACACATTTTAAAAATAATAATTAAGTTTTTAAGAGCCAAAAAAGATTAGAAATAATTTTGATTTAAGAAATCCACTGATTATAAAGTTACATTAAAAGAAGTAGGTATGAAAAAGAAAATGTTTTTTTTAAAAAGACAATGTTTCATAAACCACGCACTGCAGAGGAGTCTGGCTTTTACGGCTGCACCACCAAAATCACCCCAGTGAGCAGCCCGGAGCTGCCCAGGAAGCCTGGAACATTTGGGGGGGGGGGGCGCCTTTTCTCCTTTAGGGGATGGTCAAGACTTTAAATAAATAAGGTCATCCCTCATTAGCTTTCAATGTTGAGTCCCCTTCCTACCTCTTATTTAAATTCTTCCCCATCCCCGACCTTGGTAGGAAAAGGAATTAGACTTGTTAACTGACAGGCGCTGCTTGTATCCTAAGTGAACCCCATTACTCTACAGAGTTTTCTCATTCAAATTTTTATTAGGAAAACATTTGGGGAGCAGCAAACCCTGAAGTTACTTTTTTAAGTAAAGTGCATCTTACTTACTTACAGGGTAAGTAACTTTCTTACTCTGAAAGTACATCTGACTCAGCCTTTTCATTCTGACAAATGAGTAGGAGAGAGATGGAAGGATAAAGAGATGAGGGGAGGGAGTTATTCCCAGGGAAGACTGTCTGAGCCTGCTGGGGGCCAAGGCCAGAATGTTAGGGGACTTTCTACATTTCTTGAAGAACCTGCAGCTTACCTCTCTTAAAGTGCCCCTTAGCCCCTATCCTCATCTCAACCCTACTCTTATTCTGTCTTCCTACTATTCCAACATTCTCAATTTTTTTCAGGCAAATCTAAATTTATTTCATTAATTAGTTTTTACAAAATTTAACCACCAGTCCCACCTCAGGTCCCAGAACATATCTATCTGTCTGTTCATGCATCCCAGCATTTACTGAGCACATCAAACATGCCAGAACCGGGGTGGGGGGCTCAAACCATATGGTCTTTGCCTTAATAATCTAGAAGGAAGACAAGGGAGCAAACCAAGATTTACTTGTCTGAAAAAGAGCTATACAAGGAGATGTACAACAGAGAGACATCTAGTCAGTCTGTCTCCTAAATGCTACCTCAAATAACATACAAACTCCCCACTAGTGGGGATATTACTCCGCTTTGAGAGTTACTGGCCTATAAGGGTTAACCAAAAATACTACTATATGTGCATAATCAAGTATTTCTCAGTCTGGTAAAGCATGTGACTATATGAGAGATACAGGTAATATGGCACTAAATACATAAAATTTTATAGAAGAGTAGCATAGCATTACATTAAGACTTTAAACACAGAGCTTTTCCATTTCATGTAGTCCCGTTTGTTTATATTTTCCTTTATTTCCTTTGCCTTAGGAGAAATATCAGTAAAAATGCTGCTATGCAAGATATCCAAAATTTTACTGCCTGTGTTTTCCTCTAGGATTTTTATGGCATCATGACTTATATATTTAAGTATTTTATCCATTTTGAATTTATTCTGGTGTATGGTGTAAGATGATGGTCTAGTTCCATTTTTTTTTTGCATCTTCCAGTCCATTTCATTGGACACCAACACCATTTATTGAGAAGAGTATCTTTACTCCATTGTGTACTTTTGCCTCCTTTGTCAAATATTAATTGACCATAAAGAGCTGAGTTTAATTCTGGGCTCTCTATTCTGTTCCACTGATCAATGTATCTGTTCTTATGCCAGTACCAGACTTTTGATTACAGTGGGCTTGTAGTGTACTTTGATATCAGGTATTATGATGCCTCCACTTTGTTCTTTCTCAAGAGTGCTGAGGCTATTCTGGGTTATTTTTGGTTCCACATAAATTTTTGGAATGTTTGTTCTAGATCTGTGAAATTGGTTTATTAATAGGAATTACACTGAAATCTATAGATTGCTCTGGGTAGTATTAAAGAAACCATCTTCGAAATGAAAAGGAAACCAACTGTATGGAAGAATGTATCTGCCAATGATACAGTGGACAAGGGTTCAATCTCCAAAATACATAAAGAACTTAATACAACTAAACACGAGGAAGACAAATAATCCAGTTAAAAAATGGGCAAAGGACCCAAATACACATTTCTCCAAGGAGGACATACAGAGGGCCCACACACACATGAAAAGTTGCTCAACATCACTAGCCAACAGAGAGCTGTAAATTAAAACCATAATGAGATACCATCTCACACCTGTCAAAATGGTTTTCATTAATAAATCAATTATAAGTTAGCTGGTGAGAGTGTGGAGAAAAGAGAATCATAGTGCACTGTTGATAGAAATGCAGCCACTGAGGAAAACAGAATTTCCTAAAAAAACAAAAAACAAAAATGAAACTGCCTTTTGACCCAGCAATTCTACTGCTGGGAATGTACCCAAAGAATCCCAAAACACCACTTCAAATTATGCACCCCCATGTTTACAGCAGAGCTATTTACAATAGCCAATATTTGGAAACAGCCTAAGTGCCCATCAGTAGATGAGCGGATAAAATAATCTGTGGTACATTTACACAATGGAATATCATGACACAGAAAGAAATAAATCCTACCTTTTGTGACTGCATCGATGGAACTGGAGACTATTATGCTAAGAGAAATAAGCCAGTCAGTAAAAGACAAATGCCATATGATCTCATAAGAGGAATCTAATGAACAAAATAAATTAATGAACAAAAAAGAACCTCTATGAAGGTTCTCATAAGAAGCATCTTCCTCATAAGAAGCACAGAATCATGGAAGAGACTGACAGCTGTAAAAGGGGGGTGGGAGGGTGGGGACTGAGTGAAGGAAGGTGAAGAGATGACCCATGGACAGGGACAATGTTTGCAGGACTGATTATGGAAGTGGGTGGTGGGCTGGGTGGAGGGGATGAAGGGGAAAAAAGTGGGACAACTGTTATAGTATAAACAATAAAATATTTTTAAAAAGACTTTAAATATACAAACACACCCAGGAGAAAAAGATACATAGCAAAATCCTATGCTGG